AAGTGAAGGTGAATTGAGTGATTTTAAAATTTGACTTAAATGACTTTAAAAAAATTGTTCAAGTAAAAAGCTTCTTTTTATTAAAATTTAACTTTACTCAAGATTACAAAAGCAGATATTTTTTACAAAAAAAAAAAATAGTTGAAAATAAAAACAACCACATGAGCAGAAATAAAAAAAAATTAGATACAAAAAATTTTATATGGTTTGGCCTAAACCAATGTCACTACATACATCCACATCTAGCCAATCTCTAGAATAAGAAACCACTAACAATAATATATGTTATGTACTTTAACAATTGAGTAAGTATTAAGCCCACTATGTTACAAGTAACAACAAAGAAAGTATAGCTAAATGGCAAAAAGAAAAAGCAACATTATAATATTCGATAATAATAAGCTTTCTGATTTTTTTTTAATAATATACTTAAAACTAAGATCATTTAATAACTCCAAATGAATCACTTCCAATACACATAAAATGATTTAAAATTTTGTAAGGTCGCAATGTTTCAACTCTTTTCAATATTAACCTCTAAGTTCTTTATAAATTTTATTTGGTTAAAAAAGACTTAATTTCGATTTTATAAGATTAGCAAAGTATGAATTGAATAATTGTAACTGTTAAGTCTTAAATAAATATACTTTGTATATGAAATATGATTAATCCTTTAAGAAGTCAATATCATTTTGATTAAAACAAAGCATTGTATGATATAAGAATGCAACTTTGCATTAAATAAAAATTCAATTCTTGATGGATAAAATCAAGTTCTTAGAAAATAAAATAATAATAATCAAAGTACTTGTATATTTTTATCCAACCAAATGAAAATATAATCATGAGAATGTTTTTAACCCAAAAGAAATTTAACAATGTATCTGAGCAAGATAAATAGTAAAGCTTAAAAATAAAATTCTTACCCGAACATGAATTTGAAATCAAATGCTTTTGCCAAGTGAACAACTTGAATCTCCTTTGAAGACCAATCAGAACATAATTTTTTTTTTTTTTTTGCTGATTTTCTTTTTTGGGTTTTAAGAGGGCTAAATGAGCTTAATTCCAACCTCCTTGTTATTGATTTGACTGGTCATTAATCTCTCCAAAATTTTGAATTCAAATTGAAGTTTCTATTGACATAGTTAAATGAACAGAAGGAATTTTGAATTCAAAAGATTAAATTTGAATTAGAGTAAATATTGTCAATCATGAAGAACGAAAATCAGACAGCTAAATTAGGAGTTTTTTATAATTAGGAGCTTCCTTATTTCTATTATCTTTATTATGATTTATTTCTCTTTTAGCCGAATGTTTAGATTAGGAATATTTATTATTAAGTTAACTAAAATAGATTATGCACTTTATTTTGTATCTAAAATAAATTATAAGATTATTATTTATTGGAATGAAAGCAAAGGGAAAAGAATGGAGCCTATTCAGAATTGAGACTATTTTTCTCAAAACTTTGGCATGGTATCAGAGCCAAATTTTTGCCCTAATCATCGATAATTGTTGGAGTACCATCAAGACTCCCTTCCCGTTGGCCTTCTTGCAGGACCGGAAGGGAGAAACTATTTGTTTGCCTTGATTCTCGCTCGTTTGCTCGTCGTCTAATTATTTCTTCAGATCTCGTTCGCTAGCCATCGCTCCTTTTGCGACATCTTCGACTGCTTCTTCCACTTCGGCTTCGTCCGCTTCAACTTAAGCTTCTTCGTCGCACTCAAGGATTGAAGGCTTCGACACTGCTTCCTAGACCGACGACTTTGACAAACCCTAGTTCTTCGGCTTCGGCACTCGCTGCTTTGGCAACCTCGACTTCGGCACTCACGGCTTCGACATCTCGGCTTCAACACTTTTGGCGTGAAGATTATGGAACAAATCGTCCTCGTCGTCGCAGGAAGAATCAATACAATTTGGATCGTTTAACAGGACACGGATTCTACTTGTAGGCTATGATCAATAACATCTGGATCGTGTAACTGGACCCTATTTGTGGGCTATGACGTGTAGCAGCTGGATCAGGATGCAGATCCTACTTGTAGGCTATGATCGATAACATCTGGATCGTGTAACCGGAAGCGGATCTTTCTTATGGCTATGATTCGAATTTTTGGACGACAATGATAAAAGATTTCTTGCTTCTCTTTGCTCGAATCATGTTATTGTTCAAGAGTTGTCTCTGAGACTTCAGCATTCTCGGTTTCGGCACTCTCGGCTTCGACACTCTTGGCTTCGGCACTCTTGATTTGAGGATTTTTGGTCCCGATAGTGTTATCAATTTCTTGTTGGCAAATTGATGCTTCCTGATCAGTCCTGATCAGTCAACATCAAAGTGAGGGGGATGTCAATCAGGAAGGACGGAAATCAGGCAGCTAAATTAGGAGTTTTCTATAATTAGAAGATTCCTTATTTCCAATATCTTTTTTCTAACATCCTTATTATGATTTATTTCCCTTTTAGCTGAATATTTAGATTAGGAATATGCATTATTAAGTTACCTAAAATAGATTATGAACTTTATAAAAATAGATTATGCACTTTATTTTGTACATAAAATAAATTATAAGAATATTATTTAATAGAATGAAAGCAAACAAAGGAAAAATAATGGAGCCTATTTAGAATTCAGACTATTTTTCTCAAAACTTTGACATGTCAGGAATATAATTGAACAAGATTGGATGCAATCTTTAAAATATAAATTAGCCAAAAACTCATTAAAATTTCACCCAAATCTATCAGAAAACTTTGTCATGAATTAATTAATTTAAATATGATTGCTTTATGTTGAATGCAATATATGTAATGTATTATACTTTAAATTAAAAAAATAATAATTAAGAGTTGATTTGACTAAAAATCAAATCAATTTAATTGTTGCCTTTAATTGAAAAAATCTCTGAATTTTTTTCCGTATAAAAAAAATTGTTTGATGCATGCTTTAAGTATATGATTATTATTTAATGTAATAATGCATATATTTGATTGTTTATTGCATTCAGATTCTAAATTTATCTAAATACATGATTTAGGGCTTAATTTAAGTAAATTTGCAGCAACAAAAAAAAATCTTCCAAAAAATAATAAATTTTAGCGGACACCAGTTAGTGGGTTGAAAAAAAAAAAGACAAAAATCTTCCAAAAAAATATAAAGATTTACTTATTTTATGTAATAATGCATATATTTGATTATTTAATGTATTAGGATTCTAAATTTGTCTAAACACATGATTTAGGGCTTAATTTATATAAAGTACGCACACACACACAATATCATTTTTAGTTGGGTTGCATAAATTTAGTGCCACCAATCCAATGATTTCAATAAGTTGATATTGTCCAATGTAGGAAGATTTGATGGAGATATACGTGCAATGACTGCAGGGAGAATAATGACAATGCTGGAAAATCTAAAGTTATGATTTTTATTATAGCTTGTGCTGTTTGAGTATCGACTTTACTATTCTTCCTACTTTGATTAACAATAGTTTTGTTATCTTTAATTCTTCCGTAGCATCCAATTCATATGCATTTCGTAATGCTGAAGATTGTTATAATTTGAAGCACATTGATTCTTTTTTTTTTTTTGTGTCAACATCAATCTTGCTTTCCTTTGTTTGTTTATTTTAATATTTTGATGATACTTGGAGTTGTTATTTGATCTTAATCCTATGCTTTTTAGACAAATTTTATACTTACCGAATTCTTCAAACGTTGTGCTTAGCGGACCCTTATGGGTATTGGCACTTGTCAAATTCGGCCCTTGATGCATTTTTTCCATATTTTTACATGTAACCTGGAATTTATTCTTTATGGCTCCATCCATACTTGGTATAACACCGTTTCTTTTAGGGACTGTTTGGTAGCCTGCATTACAAAGACCAAATACAAGACGTCTTCAAATATTAGTGTAAAGTTTTGGTGAATTCAGAATTTACCCTTTGGTTCAAAGTTGATGTATTTGAAAATTGTTTGATTCAATTGATATTCAAATTTCCTGTAAAAGTTGCCACCACTGTCACCACCCGCCATCTTCATCCATCAGCCCTCCAGCCACCCATCAGTCGATAGCTTCCATCGCTGCTTGGTTTTATATTGATTTTATTTTACGTCAAACCATACACAAAATAACAATCTCTTATATTTGTTTGATGCCTAAATAAACAATTCTGAAGTATTTCAAGACAGTGCATTTCAGTTTCATTGCATTAACTTTACACTATATTACTTCTTCAGTAATCCAAACAACCTTTGAATTTTTTATGGTGCAAAAGCACGGTTTATGTTTCTCAGCTTCATGACCGAGATTATCAAATGAATCAGTTGGAATACTTTGATAGTGCTCTATTTTTTTTTCCTATAAGGAAAAAAATGTTTTATTATTGCTCGTAATTGTTGTACTCGCCTGATTTGTGTCCTTCCAAACCTTTTATTAGTTGTACAATTCTATTCATCAGAGTTTTAATTGCCCTATAAAATGGAATGTAAAGTACTTTTGTTTCAATTCAGTCTTATGTTATGAGTTATTTAGGGCTTGTTTGGGATCACTTTCTTTTTTGCCATTATTTTTGCTTTAATTTAAAAAAAAAAATGTTTGTTTAGTGCATTTTTTGCATGTTTTTATTTTTTATTTCTAAAAATAAACTAGCTTGCTTGTAAAACACTCAAATCATCTAGCAGTTGTTTTGAGTATTTTTAAAAATAACCAAACGTATTTTATCATTCCAAACATGTTTTGTTTTAAATAAAAAAAAATGATAAAAAAAAAACAAACAAACAAAAGCAAACGGCAAAATTCAAAAGTGATCCTAAACGGTCCATTATTTCAAGATTATGTACCTATAGCGTCCAACATGCTTGTGGGGCTTAAAACATTAAATTTTGTTTACTCTTCAATTTCTAAAATTTGTTGAATCCTGTCCCAGTAGCATTAGACTTGTCAAAATATAAGCTGAATGTCTTATTGTTTTCTCAGTAATGCTTTCGTACCACTGCAGTTTATGAGGCATGCAAGCTTGGTTCTCATACTCCTCAAATCAATGGAGGTTTAAAGGAATCTTCATCTGGAAAATATCCATCTTCTGGTTTTTTGCCTGTGAATTGTCCACAAGAGCTAAAGGTTGCAGGCAGTAACTTGTTATCTTTTAGTTCAATAACTGATTATTTTGCCGCTCTTTCAAAATGCTGGAATGTGAAGGGTTTTCTCAACTCTGTCAAAATGGTTCTCAAGGATTTGAAGCTTGCTGCAAATCCCTCTCCAAATCATAAAGAACACAGCATTGGTCCTTGTATGGTATGTATTTTTATTTCAAATTTGCGATTTCTAAGATATTTTCTAATGATAATCGGATTTGTTAAATTGTTAGCATTTGTTATGATCTAATCCGATAACTTGGAGTATCGAGGCATGAGCAAACAACTGCAACTTGAAAGGGTGAAGCGAAGTTTCTATGTATGCCCAATCCATTATTAAGAAAATTTGCATAGCTAACGTCATAATGATCAGACATGGACATTTTATGGCTTCAATTATACCTCATGTTTGTTTGCACTTCGTATAATATTTTATAGCAATATTTTTTAAGACATAATCCAAGGTGTAAAGAGCCACAATCATTGAAAGTTTTTGCAACATGCGCTCGCTGAAGCACACTTATATATATATATATATCAACATCAACATCATATAAATCTAATAACATCATATAAATCTAATGGGTCATAGGAAAATTTGTATAAACAAGAAGAGTTTTAAATTTATCCATTTACACCTTGTATATTGACCATAATTCTTATTTTAAGATAGATACAAATCACTTGTATTCCTTGATATCTAAACATACCCATCTAGGATTTCACAGTAATTTAGGTAGACGTGAAGGAAACTGGAAGAAGAAAATAAGGTTAGGGTTTACCATTTTTTGTGACAGAGGAAAAAGATAAGGAGCCGTAGATTTTCCTTCCCTCTTCTAGCTTTGACCTTAAGTTGCATCTCTTCATTATACTCACTAGTGACGTCACCTGTTGACATTATGGTTGCGAGTCTCGGACCTTCACCGCTGATTATGTTCCAGCTTCCTAATTGATCACTTTCTTGTCTCATTGTTGCCTCTCGTAGCTAACTTTCTTGCCTAGACTCTCTCTAGCCTTCTCCTGTATTGCTTGCTCATTCTCTCATTCAATGATGCACTTGAGCCCTAGCTGCTCTCCTTTTTTCAGGTATATATGTTATATTTTTTGAAGCAGTATTATATTTTGTAATTTGTATACATACCTTACACCAATTTTGTGGTGGTTGGAAATCGCCTTATGCAAACTTACCTGAACACAATTTACTCTATCAAGACTAATTAATTGATTATTTGTTTATTTGAGCAAGCTATTCATGTCAATCATTTCTATTTTTATGGCTTAATTAAATCTTAGTTCATCCATATTTTTTATTAACACTAATCTTTCCAATAATGCCACTCGACTGGCTAAATTGTTCTTTTGGTCTTTGCAGCTTTTTCCAATAGGTGAGATCAAGCATTTTGTTGTGAAAAGCTGAAACTTTTCGATGAACTTGAAACCGGAGTATCTGCTGATGACTGTCATTTAATTTGAATGAACTCTTTTTTTTCTTTTGTATCTACTGATTTATTCTTGTTTTAATTTCCGCTGAACTCTTGAGTATTTCCTGCAAATATTTACAAAATTCGTGCCTTGTATGTTGTGGATAGATGAACTTATACAAAATTGTTACTTAATGTTTTAGCACTGTGTTTATGAAAGTAGACATCTTTTATATTATTATGAATTGAATTGGTGATACTTTGCTGATGCGTTATTCTTGCCAAATACAATTGTGTAGCAAGAATATTTTTCTTTCTATTGCGCCTATATATCTCTTATTATTTATTAATTTATCTCAGTTAAATATCTATGACAATGATCTTCCTAACCATGCAATTATGAGCTAATATTATGAAGTATACTCTTTCTTGATTGGTTTTTTCTATTTCCTATAAACTTTAAATTTTCACTAGAAGCATCCAAGTAAAATACTAGTACCCTGACATTTGACTGGTAATTTTACGTTTGGAATGCTTCTACTTCTAACATTTATTTATTTTCTTATGGTTTTTTTCTTTGATTTGTCAGGTTGTGTATGTTGTGTGCCCCTTTCCTGAGCCCACAGCAGTTTTGCAGACGGTTGTCCAGTGCTCGGCTGCTTTGGGTTCTGGCGTTCTAACATCAGACAAGGAGAGACAGTCTTTGCTGTACGATCAGGTTGCCAAGGCTCTCATTTCCTCTGCTGCGGTGGATGAAGCATCGGCCTCAAATGTGGTGATGCTCTCTGGTTTTCGTATTCCCAAACTAGTCTTACAGATAGTAACAGTGGATTCCTTATTAAGATTAAACAAGCCATCTAAAGAGCTTGCAATTTTTAAAGAAATTGCATTCACTGTATACAATAAAGTACGGAGAATCCCAAGAGCTGCTTCGGGTGCCGACACTTTTCAGTCATCAGCCATTTCGGGTAGACCTCAATCAGGAGTGATGCATGTAACCTCTCCTATTCCAGGCATCTGGAAGGATTGTCTTGCACCTCGTATTTCTGGCTCAGCTCTTCCTAGAGAGGCTGAACTTGATTCATCCTTGAGACCAGTTGCATGGGATAATTCATGGCAGGCGAGGATTGGAGGATTAAGCTCTGATCCTACTAGGTCAGTGGAGCTAATTCTTCAAGATGATCCAAGATATGTTTTTGAGCCACTTTTTGTATTGGCAGAACCTGGGTCAGTCGAACACAGCCTTTATCCCGCCGTGCTTCATGGCATCATGCCAGAATCTTCTAGTTCAAAATCTTCTATTGAAGATAGTAGTGGTATATACCCACAAAGTTCGAGTACAGTAGGATCTGCAGATATTGGCAAGGGCTCCTCGCTTGATGGATCGGATCATGACAATAGGGCTGCAAATCTTCATTGTTCTTATGGGTGGACTGAAGACTGGCGCTGGTTGATCTGCATCTGGACAGATTCTAGGGGAGAGTTGCTTGATTGCAGCATATTTCCCTTTGGCGGCATCAGCAGCCGCCAAGACACAAAAGTTTTGCAAAACCTTTTTGTTCAAGTTCTTCACTACAGCTGTCAAATACTATCTTCTTCTTCCTTGGATTCAGGCTGTAGGCTAAGGGATATAATAATTACCCGTATTGGATGTTACTTCGAGCTTGAATGCCAAGGTATAAAAACTCACCAATTTATTGTCAAAACGTTTAAGTAGAATGAAACCGAATTCTTAAACACTGAGACATCTTTTTATTTAGCGTTTGGAATTTCATCAGAAACTCCAATGCAAAGCCTGTTTGTGTGGGAGTCTCATGGGATGGGCGATTTCCTGGTAAGTTACATCAATGAGATAAAACCATAAGGTTGTTAGTCCAAAACGGATAATATTTCGATGGTTGAAAGTTTGGGCTGTTACAAATGATTTCAGACCGTTACACTAATCTAAAGATAAGAATATTTGCCTCGTGGATATGATTTTAGGTTAAGAAAATTGATGTGGCCGTCAGTTACTTAGATGAGAAAGATTGTGAAACCCTTAAAGTAGAAAAATGCTGAACCCTTAAGTATTGAGGCACCTTTTGGTGTAATGGTTGGAATTTCATCAGAAACTCCAAGAGTTAAGGGTGGGAGCACTCCTGAGATGGGTGATCACCTGAAAAGTTACACCAATGGGATAAAACCGTGAGGCTATTAGGCCAAAGCGGACAATATTTCGATGGGTGAGAGTTCGGGCTGTCACAATTATTTTATATAATGCAATTATATCTGTGCTATCAGCTCACTACTAAGTTATTTCTTTCCACAGAGTGGCAAAAGGCTATATATTCTGTTGGTGGGAATGATGTCAAGAAGTGGCCTGTACAACTTCGACGTGCCATGCCCGATGGTGTTTTGAACAATAATGGAGCTTCTCTTGAGCAGCAAGAAATGGGGTTGATTCAAGAAAGGGCCCTGCCTTCTTCACCTAGTCCGTTGTATAATCCTCATTCTAAGTCTAGCTTTATCAAAGGCAGCCTTGGGCAAACTAATGCCAAAAAGCAGATTTTACCTGGACCGACAGGATTGGACAGCTCAAGGGGATTACTACAGTTGGCGCGGAGTATAAGTTTAGTCAGCGTTTCAGTAGATCACACCCTGCATCTAGTCGTTCCTTCAGACTCTTCTTCTGGTAAGTTCGCTTTATCTTTGATGTCATGAATAAAGAGGAAATCTTTATCAATCATGGATCTGATAATGATGCGATACAATTATGCTGAATAGTTCATCCATAAGAATCTAAGCTGGAAGATTTGCATGCATACCACTCAATTCCTTTGTATTTACATATCTAACACCTGAATTTCAATTTTTACATATATGGCACCTTTCCTTGACCTGAATGGTTGTATTGCATATTTTAAAAGTTAAAATAGTGGTATTTTTTATTTGATATGAAAGATTTTGTTGGTATGCAATAAAAACAACAAGCCTTTATGCAAAAAAAAAAAAAAAAAAAAAAAAAAAGATTATTCTACTAAGTCGGGTTGGTTACATCATTGTGTCCTATTACATGTCATATTTTCATTTAATCCTAATAAATTAAGATCATTTGTTTATACAACATGCCCAAGTCTTTTTAAGTCTACTTGATGCAGAGCGGGATGTTTTCCGGGGAACTTGTATGGATACGGGAAGTCAAGGCGCGGGGGCGCCATGCCCGTGTGGGCGTGAAGGATAGCCATGGGAAGTCGCGGCGTAATAGGAGTCGCTACTGCTCTCGTGATTTTGACTCATCTGGATCGAACAGGATCAAACTTGGGAGGGCTGATTGGCTCTTCCACGTGGGTTTGGTGCTTTCTTTTCATAGGGGGATCCAATCCTTGTGATTTCTTCTTTGAGGTTTTCAGTTTTTGGGTTTCAGATTTCTGCCGTTGCGTCGTTTTCCCCATCTAAGCTGTATCCGAAGACGGGCATGTGCTCGCAACTTGTCCATGGTGGTGTCAGTCTCCTAAGGATCGAGTGGTGCTACATTTGTAGTGCGATCCTGCTGGGATTTTTATCCTTAACTTCCACTCATTAGTAATCTTCCCTTCACCGTCACCTTCGCCAATTCTCCGCAGTCACCTGAAAATAACCTCTTTGTTGTTTTTCTGCAGCCGCCTACTTCCTAACTCGCTCCCACTTTGCTGCCATCCCGCACTACAGCCTTCCAGCACCCAGCCAGCCCCTCTCCTGCCATCTACATGCTCTCCCATTCTCACAAAATCCTTTCCCCTTCATCCCAACTGCCATCGTTGCCTTCCGTAACTAGTTCCCTGCCCTCCAAGTGTTGTCTAGCCGCCCCTTGCAGCAAACTGCTGCTGTTTGAATTGGTTGTTGTTCCAATCGCCATAATTGTTGTCTTCCTTCTTCTATTGCCCATAAACTCCTTCTTTACTTTCTCGCCATCTCACCAAGCTTCTAACCTTCACCATCACTGTCTGGGATCCACCCTAACGCGAGTTTGTGTGTCGTGTGTGTTGTATTCCCCCTTTCTTGTGTTTTGATTGTAAACACATATTTGCTCCCAATAATAATATTTGTTTTTATATTGTGGTTTAGGTTAACTCCGGTATCAATGGGTATCAGAGCTAGTATAACCCTAGTCCTATTGTATGGTTTCCTACCACCCGCCTTACCTAAACAACGCTCTGACCAAAATTTTTCTTTCCTATCCACAACCATCTCCTCCAATCCTCAAGCCTAATCATGCCACCAAAGGGATAATCATCGGAAGCCTGATCGAGGGCAAATGACATGATCTCGTTAATGTGCAATTTACAAATATGTGTCCCAGGGATTTCTAAGTAGGATATGCACTGAGAAATTCATCAACTACAATAGAGACTTGCCACCTTCGAGAAGAGACAATCCGAATGGGTCACTCGTAACGAAAACTGTGACTTGGTAGATTGAATTAAAGGATTGTATCTCTTCCACCATGTGAATTCTAGGAATGAAAAACCTCTACCTCAAAGTTGTGACTTGAAATGTCTGACAAGCCAAAATTTTGAAGTGACGATGAATTTGTCATATTTTGACTTTCACATGGATTGAATAGTTTATCGAGCGGTTATGGACCTTGGAATGTGTTTTTGAGAGTTAAAATGTCCCATCAAGCAGAATGATCAAACAAGCGCTGACAAGTAATAGAAGAGTGAATTATTTTGGTGGTAAAATTTGACGTATGTACGCAAGTGTGAGGGAAAAAGACAAGATTACTACCTAATTCAAGATGAAACAGGGAATGCGACGTTAGTTCCTATCATCTCATTATAGTCCAAATGTTAATACCCCATTTTCAAAAGTTGGGAGAACACGTTATCAGACAACCACTACATCTTAAAGGCAATGTTCAACCCCAAATCTTACATCAGAGTATACCCAAGGCAACATCCAAGTAGACCCCGCTCGAGGAGAAACTGATTCAAAGTTGGGAGTAGATAGCGAACCAGTATTCTTAAATCTGTCTTTGCTAGAAAGTGTTTCAAATATCGCGATTTTGGGTATATTGAAGCATATTGCACAACTAGTGGGATGATATATTTCATTGAGCAGAGTGTTTTTGAAGAAATGGACAATCACACGGTAGATATAGAAGAGAGCGAAGACACGAAAGAGGAGTAACTTCGAGGAAGAGACTCTTTCGATTTCAACTGAACCCAAGAGAGAGATTCCATTTGAGCTGACAGTTAACTATTTTAGAAGGTAGTGAGGCCAAAGTGATGGGCATTCATGCAGAGTTTGAGATTCCGGTGCATCGGGCTACCATTTTGTACACATTGAGAGGAGCATCAACAGGACTGACCTTGGATGCCCAAATGAGCCATGAGATTGAGGAGTTGATGTCAAACACAGGACAATCCCATATAAGAGAAATTCAAACTTTTCATATGTATCGACTCTTTCCTTAAATGTACCTATTAAGGGAGGTCCAACATAGCAAGAATCACGCTATTTTGTGCTATGTCTGGAAGATTATATAGAGTTATTTGGATATTAGAATCAATTTAGCAATTTACCTGCCATCAAATATCCAGACATAAGGGATAAAACTCGGCTTTGAAATTTGTTTTGAAAGCTTGATGGAGAACAAAATTCCTCAATGGGATTTAGGTTTTATCAGTGAAAAAGATCTCTCCTGAGTGCTTGCTAGTGAGATTGGCACAGTCTGTCACAAGTTTTAATTTAGAAGTGGAAACTTTCAAACTTAAGGGTTTGAGAGTTATCTTGTAGGAACCTACAACTTTATGCAGCTTCATCTCATGATTTGCTAAAAGAGGATACATATTTCTTCTATTAAGACGCGTTGTGGAATATCAGCTCTTATCATTTCCAAAATTTCCAACTAGGCCGACTTGAAGCCATATCACAAGACAGAAGCTTCGACGAAATTGTCAAAGCTCGCCCCAACCTTGAGAGATTGACGCAGAGCCGGATGGTTTCCCGTGAACGTGTCTGGATGCGGAAAGTCAAGGCTCGGGAGCGCCATGGTTGAGTGTAGGGCCACCATGTCCGTGTTGGCGCAAAGGATAGCCTCGAGAAGTTGTTCCATGTTGGTTTGGTGAAATTTTTGTTTGGAAAGCCGCTGACGTCCTCTCAACCCCCTTATCTTCTAAGGTTGTACCAACGGACGAGTGGTGCTCTGACTATATCTTCCTCTGAGGTGGTAATTTTCCCATATGTTCTCGTCTTTAGGAATCTCCCTATTGCTCTTGTTGCACTCTACTATTTCAGCTGTCAACTTCCCTTCCCACCACTAGCCTTCGCCCTCCCATCATTTCTCCCTGCTGTAGACCCCGCTGCTATCTACTCCATTGTTGTATCGTGACCCCTTCCACACCCTCTACAATTACCACAAGCCCAATCCACCATCTCACTTACTGCCCAGTCGGGGTTCACAACCTTCGTCCTCGTCCTATGTATTTTTTTATGTTTGTGTTCTTTATTTTTTCTCTATTATCAAGAGTTTTTGTTGCCCTATTGAATTTCAACAATAACATTTGTGTTTCTATTGCGATTTTGGTTAACCCCGTTATCACTACCTCTTTCTTTCTGAACATATATCAAATTTAAAACATCTACTCTCCTAACAGGATAATCAAATGGTCAATGTTTAACATATAAGGCTAATCTCTCTAATTTTGTCTGTCACCGGAGCTACTCCAACACTTTCACGGATATATTCGTTTCGCATTTTGTGTCAATGTGTAAAATCATTGATCCACTTGAGCATTCTCATATCAACAACAATTAACTTAATTTTATGCTCTTTTAAGGGCCAACATTATGCACCATAAAGCATTCTCACCACCATCTTTTAAAAATTTCCTTTTAAGTTTGGGCGATACTTTTCTATCACACAATAGGCTCGACACATTCCTCCACTACAGCCTTCCAACTTAAATTCTTCTAATAACATCCCCATCTACATCACAATCATTTTAAACTATAGACTTGAGATATCTAAAACCATCACTCGTTTTAATGACTTGATCATAAATTGTTACAACCTCACCACTGGATCTACTGCTGTTAAAATTACATTTCGTGTATTCAATTTTAGATCCACTCGAACAAAAACTTTTAGATTCTAAAGTTGACATCCATAAATTAAGTTTTTCCTGAATTTTCTCTCCAGTCTTATCCACAAGAAGGGTATCATCAGCCTTCATGTCGTAGTCTTTTGACAAAATTTTTTTGATTGCTATCGATTAGACGATTGCCCAACATTTTCCCTCCACTTTTCGTGTCAAGGACTTGGGACCCGACAATGATAGTGTATGTAAATGCCCTCTTTAAGTTTTGTTGGAATATTTTGCTACCTTCATACTTTTTTGATATCATTCCACACTATGCTTCAGATTTATGTCATTGCATTGTGGGCTAGAAACATTCTATTTGTATCTTTTAGGGACCGTTCCTATTAATGATCCAAAATGTTTGTTAGTTCTACTCGACCATGCAATGTCCAAAATTGTGAAAATCATCCTTCTTTATTCTTTTGTTTCCAACAATTTATAATCCTTCTTACTCAATGATTTTGACTTCTCCATAGATAATTCCTGCCTCATTTGGTCAACCAGGTAGTTTACCTTCACTACTTTTGTAGAAATTGTCAACCCCAAATCATGATACTTAAACATGCAGAAACGGGTTGCTGTGTTCCCGTTAAAAGAAGAAAGGAAGCTATTCTTAATAATTATGTTATCATTCATTTTAAGCAGAAAAAATTTGTTATTAGTGGCAGGAGTAAAAGGTGACACACATTTTACCTTTACAAGGAATGCTTAAAACTCTTAGTTACCATGTTTATGGAAATTTACATGTGTAGCACACAATTTTTATGTATTATACATGTCTCACACCTAAACTTTCACATTTACATGCATCGCATGAAAGTGTGTATTTCACTTTTAAAAACTTAATAGTGTTTTTTTATACGATATTAAAGATTTTTAGTGCTAAGCATATAAATATAAAAGTTTAAGCATGACCTATGTAAATGCATAAGAATTGTGTGCTATTTATGTAAATGCCCCCCATACATTTACTAAAATTAATTTATCTTCTTGACCTGTAATATTATGCCTAGAACTTTTCTTGTGATCATAAATATAGCCGTTTGATATATGGATAGAACTCTTATTAATTTTATTAGGAATTTGTAAAGAAACTATTACTTAGTTTTGGAGAACCAGTATTCTCTTGAGAGTATTGATGGCCATCTTTCTGTATGAAAGCTTAACTTCCAGTATTTATTTTGTTCTAATATTGTATATTTCTATAATCATGGAAGTTTTGTTCAATTCAATTTTTTTTCTGTCCTGATAATTTATTTTCAATTTGAATGTCATTTATTAAAGTTCATCTATATAAAATTTGATCAATCTAATATATATATATAGAAATTGAAGTTTAGGCATTAGATATGTAAATACACAAGAATTAAGCGGTATGAATGCAAATCTTCCTAAAAGCTTTCAATATTTTGCTGTGCTCATTACATATTTGAGGAACTCAAATTTTCTGGTCATAATAGCAGGTGTTGGACAGAGCAATAGCACCAACTCCGGCCTCTCAACCTATCTGGAGGGCTTCAGTCCTGTAAAATCCCTCGGATCAACGCCAGCTTCATATCTCCTGATTCCCTCCCCCAGCATGCGTTTTCTACCACCATCCCCATTCCAGCTTCCCACATGCTTGACATCAGAATCGCCGCCCCTCGCCCATCTCCTCCACAGCAAAGGCTCTGCAATCCCTCAGTCGACCGGTTTCATCGTTTCCAAATCCATCCCAACCCCTAGGAAAGATTTTGTCGAGCCCATCAAAGAAGATTGTCCGTCCATCTTATCGGTCAGCCTCGTCGATCACTACGGCGGACAAGAGAAGTTGGCGGCGGTGCGCGGCGTCGTCAGCACGAAGCAGGGAAGGAGCATGGGGACGGAGCCTGTCTCCAGAGATTATGAGATGGAGGCGAATCTGGTCCTCGAGTCGGTCGCCGCCGAGCTCCACTCACTTTCATGGATGACTGTGAGCCCTTTGTTCTTGGATAGGCGCTCTGCACTGCCTTTTCATTGTGATATGTTGCTGAGACTCAGAAGGCTTTTGCATTACGCGGATAAAGAGTTCTGCAAGGCTTCTGAAAAGATAGAAACTGCAGTTACAGATTTGTGAGTAGTGGTTAGTTTTTGTAATATTCAGATTTGCATGTTAACATCACTTCTGATTGTACACTTAGAGTTAGTGCCGGCCTTTTTGATTCTTGTAAATAACTCTCCAAGTATTCTGGTGTAATTGTGTAACAAATTTTGTAATTACATTCTTGTGCTTTAGGGTGTATGTAAAAAATAGCTTTTTTTTTTTCTTTTGATGATTTTTTAATGATGATTTTGCAATGGCTTGTGAGCTTGGCTTTTAGAATTTAGTTGGTGAGGGAAGTTGGGAGGGGAGATTCATGAGTCAGAGGAGGAAGTTGCTTGGTCACTAGTCATCTGTACTTTAAAAGCCAAGCTAATTATGATGTGATTTTGTGTATTGGTCTAGTTTTAAATTTTATGATTAATAAATTATTTTAGATGTTTTAGTACCCAATGAAGCATTAATTAATTCATATTTTAATTTATTTCTAAAGGTTCAAAGTTTTAAATTACATCATAATTTGTTGATTTTGTTTCTTTTAATTAAATTTTATGATGTTTCCATTTGCCTTATATTGAAGGAATTGTCTCTAATTAGATGAAATAACACTTTCATGTGAATGTTCTATTTTATTTTTAATTAATAAATAAAGTCTTTAAAATGCAAACGTCTGTGTTATATGTACATCTAAAATAAAAGGGAATACATAAAATGTAGAATTATATAATCTAATTAATAATTACTCTAATTAATTCTTAAGTTGAATTAAGTTAGAATTTAATAAATAATGAAAAGAAACAAATCTTATTACTGAATTTTAAATGTAGAATTATAATAAATTGTAAAGAAATTTGAAATTGTAATAAAATAAGAAAATAACACTGAAATTAGGGTTTGATTAAAGTTGTAAATGGTACTGATTAGGGTTTGAGCCTTCGGGTTGATGGCAGCTAGCAAGTTGGAAATAGCAGGATTAAAGTTTCTAAGAATTCATACAACAAACAACCATTTGGAACAATTGCAGAAGGTTGGTCTAGCTGCAGTAAACAAGGAGAAATGGGAGAGAATGTGATAAAGGAGCGAGGAAATGTATGGGAAGGACAAGCAGCTCATGGAGGCTAAGAAACAACTGAAGTATAACTTGAACCCCTATGATATAGCCCGTAAAGGGAAAATGAGATGCCCGATGGACGTCCCAAAACAATTCACAACAAAGAAACATAACCGTAGACACCACAAAGGAAAATATATGGTCTTAGGTAACTAGAAGTAGACCCCATCTTAAAAGGAGGCAGTCTCTCTCAACTTTAGAGGGTCGACCGACCCTTACAAGCCCTGGACCGAACCAGTCAAGATGTTTGGGACGCCCCCACATCATTAATACTCAATTTTACTTATTCACAAACTTAGTTCTAACAAATTAAAAAGTAAATAAAAGTACAAAATAGGAGTGAAAGCACACGTAAGGATAACATTCAAACATTGATTATCTCACAAACACCAATTGGTAGAACATTTGTGAACATGAATTTTCTATTCCTATAATGAATAAATTAAGTTTTTATGAAGCTTGGATGTATTTTTTATAATAATGAATCCAATTAATCAAAAAGTAAATTTTGAGCACTCATTCCAACATCTAGAGTTTACATTCAGACTTTTAGTGAACTAATCAAAAGTTAAAGGGTAATTAAGTTTATAATATAGATTATAGATTCTTAGCAGCTAGGGCTGTCAAAACGGCTCGTTGTTCGCGAACAACTCGTGTACGAATAAATATTTGTTCATTCGTGTTCGGCTCGTTTTGGCTCGAAATACTACTAATCAATTATATATATATATATATATATATATATATTTGATTTATATATGTATACATAAATATATTGATGAGTACAATATTTTAAAATTTTAATTAACTAGAAGGCTACAAAGATTTATAATCAATTAAAAGTATTAATTAAAAAAATAAAATAAAAATTATTAAATTAGATTAAAATGATGGTTTAAATCTTGCTCCAATTCTTAACATTTTATGGCTATGTGATTAGAGTTGTCTAAACGATCTTTGTTTGTGAATGACTTATGTTCGATTCGCTAAACAAACTAGCAGAATATAAATACAATTTTTGAGCTCTAAATATAAACTACCGTGTTACACCCCAATAGCAGCCTCTATAAAATGATTGTTAGCGCAACACATTCTACAAAAATTGGCTGCTCGCGCATCAGCGCGCACACACCACAATCTGAGAATACCTATCCTGTCTCCGATCACCATCTCTTCAGCGAATTTCGCTTTTGGAGCCCTATCCATGGCCGATCGTCGTCTCTTCACTTTCATGCTTTTTGTACTATCGGCAGTGTGCTGCTCCCTCACTGAAGCCGGGTACATCAGCTACAACACCAACTCCGTGATCGTCCCCGGTAAGATCAACGTCCACCTCGTTGCTCACAGTCACGACGATGTCGGGTGGCTGAAAACCGTTGATCAATACTACGTTGGGTCTAAGAACGAAATCCAGGTTTGTCTCTCTTTATATATCTATCGCCAAATCTCAAGACGGCGCGGTCTGCTTGCTGCTTTTTCAAATGACAAAATTTATTGTTTCCTAGTAGGGAGCTTGTGTTCAGAATGTTTTGGATTCGGTTGTCTCGGCTCTTCTAGCAGATAGGAATAGGAGGTTTATCTATGTGGAACAGGTAAAACGTGATTCATATGCTTGATTTTAGATTCTTTTTATATGTATTTGAGTTGGATTTGAGCAACCGAGCAATTAATATATATATTGATCGTACTTACAGGCGTTTTTCCAGCGCTGGTGGAGACAGCAGAGCGATGCGACCAAGAAGATTGTGAAGGAGCTCGTCAGCTCGGGTCAATTGGAGTTCATGTATTAATGCCTTCTACTTCTAGCTACTTTTAAATTAGAATTTTTCTTCCATTTGGTTACTTTTAAATGACATCAAACAGTGGTAAAAGAGTTGTGCAGTTTTCTAAATGGGCTTTTCTTCAGAAATGGTGGCATGTGCATGCATGATGAGGCGGCTCCGCATTATATTGACATGATTGATCAGACAACCGATTGATCAGACAACCCTTTGGCCATCTGTTCATTAAGCAGGAGTTTGGTCAAATACCAAGGATTGGGTGGCAGATTGATCCTTTTGGACATTCAGCTGTACAAGCTTACTTGCTCTCGGCCGAGGTATTAAAAAAAATTATTTTATTTGGGATCATGATTTATCTTGAACATGGGAAAATCATTTAATCACAACTAATATTTTTTTTTTCTTAAATCTTTGTGACGTTACGCTCTATGGCTGCACTCTCCCAAACTCTTTTAAGGTTTCCTTAATAATTTTCTTAGTTTGTTAGGTTAGCAGTACGAATTAAATGATTTGCTGATCCTAATCAATAGAAAAAAATGATTCTTTTTCTTAGATAAAAAATCCCCAATTTAATCATCCTTAATAGTGTAAGGGTCTTGCTATTCATACATGCGATACTTAGATGATTCCGCTCTCAGATACAATGTAGATTTATTTGGACTATGTAAAAGTCAAGGGGAGATTATTGAAAAAGGAAAAGGAGAAAGAAATATTGGTATGATGTTATCAATTATTTTCTTTGCCGAAAAATTGTCATTAAATTTGTTAAAATCCTATATTCCACTTCAAACCTTAAAATTTATCGTTTAATTTATCTGAAGATTAGGTCCCTTGAAGAAAGGAAGCTATATACATGTGGAAGTTTTGATTTGAAGGTCATCTACCAATGTTGGTTCACAATCATCACCATCTTTGTTACCTTCAACCTTTTTGAGGAACCATCCCGTCATTCTTTTTGTGCGGTAGAGGAGCTATAAACTTACAAAAGTGTGAACTTGATAGATTGGGTCATAATGACATAATTTTTCATGTAAAGCATGACACTTGAGCCACCATAAAAAGTTTGAACTAGGGTTCAATTGATTGAATAACCACATCAACCTAGTACTAGTCAGAAAAAATTGGGCTTATGCAAGCTTTGGTTTTGCCCGAAGGTCTTCTAAGTTAATATGGGGTTCATCTGGGCTTCTATAAAATTTAGTTGCATTGGACTTTGATTCAGTTTTATATAGGTGTTTTGAGATTCATGCTTTTGTAAGAAATTGTGCTTGACTAGATAATATTTTTTACAACCCTAATAACTGCCTTTCTTTGGATGTTCTTATATAAAATTCAAAAATAATATCATGATAAAATGCTGGATTCCTAGGTCATTATTGGCTTACTGACAGAAGTCTAAATTGAAAATGTTATTTTATGTTGCTACTCCCAACACATCAATACAGAAATTCTCCCAGTACTATGAGTTTATTTATTTATCCCCCAAGCTCTAATCATTTGCTTGTCATCTCAATTTTGAAGTAGTTTTAAATCATGACGTGGAAAAATATAGACATGATTTTTGGTCGCAGGGAGGTATTAGTCAAAGCAAAGTGAAAAGAGAGGTGGTCAGACAAGCTCAAATGGATCCAATTGAACCTAACTAGAGCTAATTGGGCAAGGCTAGAGATAAAGTATTGGCTAGGACTGTATGGGCTAGAGTCCTTGTTGGGATGGCTAGGGTAACTGCTTGCTCTTACAGGCGATCCTTGACAACCTCAATGGAATAATTGCTAAAGTAGGTCAAAAGTAATCCTAAAGGGGATCCCTACGCCCAATTCTTCTACCATTTCCACTACTGATTTAAATATTTTGAGATTTTGTTGTAGCCACTTTGATTGCTTGAACAGGAAGAATTTCATTGCTCAAATTTAATTGACATGCAATTTTAAGATGTCTATCCATATGATTTTTTCTCTTTTAGTTTTCTTTTTTTAAAAAATCTAGCCTAGCTGGTGTGATCAAATTCTAAAGTGGAGATGATCGCATTTTCCTTCACTTTTTTGCTGTCTTTAGGATTGTTTCTGGCATACAACATTGATACTTTTGAAATTGGCAATTTTACTGTAGTATTTCATGCTGTTATTACCATAGTTGCCTCTGTGAAAACGTTTGGCTCTCCTGTCTGATTTTGAATAGAAAAAAAATCTTAAATTTCATTTAGTTCTCATAATAGAATTTTACATTGATCTGGTTTTGGGTTGCTTAAATTCAGATGTTCTACAGGTAGGATTTGATGCTCTTTATTTTTCTCGAATTGACTACCAAGATAGAGAAACACGGAAAAAGTTTAAAACTCTCGAGATTGTGTGGAGAGGATCCAAGACACTTGGCTCTTCATCTGATGTGAGTGATGATTTTATTTATTGATTCTGCAAGCCGAAGTAATTTTTCTTGATCACATTTATAGCATGATTTTTTTTTTCAGGTTTTTACTGGCATTTTCCCGAAGAACTATGAACCTCCTCCTGGTGGTTTTTATTTTGAGGTTAATGACAAGGACCCGGTCATTCAGGTAATGTGCTTTTTAAGTTTCATCGGCAACTTTGAATAGTTACCTATAGGAATTCCTTATTTTGCTTTTTCTCACCGTAGGATGATCCTCTTTTGTTTGATTACAACGTGCAAGAGCGAGTTAATGATTTTGTTGTTTCTGCTTTATCACAGGTCAGTAAATCTATTTTTTTATTTAACTACTTTCGCTTTCTACCTTGTCGCTTGGCTTTTCACTTTGATTGATATAAAATTTTTACATTGGTGATGACAACAGTATGCTTTCTTATGGGAGTTTATAGTTTTGGCGTTGAGTTTAGGGTTGTAGCTTTTTGCATTTTCTGAAGTATATGAGGTGCACACTATTGAGGGTGGGATATTCACCACTTTGGAATGTAGTGGAGTTATGGGGGGTAAGTGGGTAACATGACTAGCAAATGAGAGTATCACCTCATGTAGCACTCAGCACGACTAAGGTTTGGAGAAGAATTCATAAAGCTGAAATCAAATAATTAGGATTAGGCTAAATGATGATGAAAGTACGCTTAAGGAGATCTAGACATAGATGCACGTAATGTAACGCAAAGTAGCTGCTTTGAAAATTGTTGATTTCCACACTAGAAAACATGGAGGAACATGCCTTTGTTACGCCGGTTACTCAACCGGTCCAGACTGGACAGGTCGAGCATCAGCCAACCGACCCGCCTCAATTGTCCAAGAGCCGAGCGGCTCTGCAGGGAGGTGAGCCATGTCAAGGAGCAGCGATCGAGGTATCCAACGAATAGGAGGGGCCCATGAGGGTTGTAATCACGTAGGTAAGGAGAAGATTTTAAAGAGGGGTTTGAGGGGAAGTTTGAAGGGGTTTGAGAGGGTTATCTTAGGACTAATAACCTAGGCTTTGTTTTTATTTTGTTCTAGCTGCGGTTTTCATTCTTTTTTTTTTTGGTGTTTCTAGCGACATCTAGGGTTTGTGGAGAGACAATCTACTTATCGAACAATAAATCATCATTCTATCTTGCTTGTTTCTTTGGTTGTCGTGAGAGCAGTCCCCGTTTGAGTTTTTCTACATATATATTGCAATTTCGTCGTTATTGTTTGTTGTTTTTGGTTTTAGATATATCAAATTGATATCAGAGCAAGATTTTGGAGGGATAATAAAGAAAGTGGATGGCTCAAAAGAGAATTTGGGCAAATCAGATTGGGAAGAACTTGTATTCTTTCATAGAGAGCCGAATGGAGAATGTATTCAAGAGTATATTAGAAATGCAGGAGATGATGAAGAAGCCCATGTAGATGCAATCCAAGGCTATGTTGTCCGCTCAAGTTGCAAACGCTAACGAAGGGATGATCAGAGAATCCTTTGCCAGATCAAAAGGGAAGGAGATCGAACGAGAGGACAATGAGGAGGATATCATCTACTACCAATAACGTCACCCTAGGAATCCGATGAGGGGAGTGGAGAATTTCGATGGAGGGGACTGGGCTGAAAATTGGAGGGATGGTGCAAGGGACACAAAAGAGCATGAAGGAGTAAGGAGGGAATCGGGAGTTGGGTATGGCTATGATCGAAGGAGGGAGTTTCAGCCTAAACACATGGGGGGAGGGGGGAGACACGAGAAGAAGAGGAAGTTGCGGTGGAGATGTAAGGGTCAGAAAAATGAAGATACTGATCTTTGAAGTGGAAGATGTGCATGAGTGGGTGTATCAGGTGGAGTAATACTTTTCAGTCAATGAGTTAAACGAGGAAGAGAAGCTCATGGCGACGTAATTATGTTTGGAGAGAAATACTCCAGCATGGTTTCAGTGGATGGAGACAAGGTATCTGATGCATTTGTCGAAGTAATTAAAGGATTGCTTTTTGGGGCATTTTCGAGCCATTCAGAAAGGATATTTACACGAGCAATTCTATGCTCTAACTCAGGAGAATATGGTCACGGAATATGAGGAGAAGTTCAAGCTCTTGTCAGGAAAACTTCTTGAAAGGCATGAAACCTGAAATCCAAGTGACCATCCAACCATTGAGATCGCATGGGCTGAGGGAAATGATGGAGCTTGCCTAGATGATGGAAGGAAGGAACAAGTGAAGAAGACTGACAAAGGCGGTAACACGAGGATTCTACAAGAGTGCCTCAATAGCCACGACACCAATGACCTAAACAGTGTCATTTTGAAAAGAGACGTCGAAGAAGAATACGGGGACCTATCCTAGGGGCAAATTCAAGCACCTCACAAGTGCAGAAGTGTAGGAAAAAAGAGCAAAATTATTATGTTACCGCTATGAAGAGAAGTGTCTCAGGCCACCATTGCAAGAACCGCACCTTCAGATCCTTTAAGTTTAGGAGGAGGTAGAGGGCAAGGAATCAGAGGAAGACACAGTGGTGTTGGAGGAGCATCTTCACTAGGACATAGCATAGGCGCCCCCAATTCACTAGTGGGATTTATTCTGAATCACACCATGAAAGTGGGGGTGGATTGGAAAACAAATGATTGTGGTGTTGGTGAATAGTGGAGTTACATGTAATTTTGTCTCAAATCAGGTTATGGATCAGTTAGAGTTATAGCTTGTGACTATAGAGAGTTTCGACTTCATGATGGAGACTGGGAAGGTGGAGAAAAGTCAGGAAATTTTTAAGGGATTGGTTATGACACTGCATGGTCTACAGGTGGTGGAGGACTTCTCGCGAACTTTGGCAGCACAGATATGTTTCTGAGGATGAAATGACTACAGACGCTTGGGGAGATGAAGGTGGATTGCAAATCCCTGACGATGAAGTTCCAAGTGGAGGATAGGAAAGTGATGCTGAGAGGAGTTGCTAGGTTATGCAAAACCATGGTCTCTCTCAAAACCATGGCCGGGACGATATAGGGAGCAGGGATGGGCTACTTGGTGGACTTGCAAAGCATTGAGGAGGTCTAGGACCTCGAATTGTCAGAGTTCTCTTAAGGGGTCCAACAACTCCTATACTATTTTACGGACATCTTTCATCAGCCAAGCGGGTTATCATGTCCTCCCTATCAGTGTCAGATCATACCAGTATCCTCAAAATCAGAAGGATGAGGTAGAGAAGTTGATCCGAGAGATGGCCGAGGCTGAGATTATCAAACTCGGTGTGAGCCCCTTCTCCAATCCAGTCCTGTTGGTGAGGAAAAAAGATGGTAGCTGAATGTTTTGCGTGGGCTATCGGGCTTTGAACAAGGAGAGAATATCAAATAAGTTTCCCATTCATGTGGTTGATAAGTTGCTAGATGAGCTTTGTGGGGCAATCATTTTCTCAAAAATCGATTTTAAGTCGGGATATCATCAGATTAGGATGAATCTAACGAATGTGTACATGACAAAATTCAGGACACATGAAGGACATTCTGAGTTCTTGGTGATGTCATTTGGCCTCATCAACACCCCGATCACATTCAGTTCTTCATGAATAGGGCTTTTCAACCTTACCTCCGGAAAATTCGTCTTGGTCTTTTTTGATGATCTTGTGATCTACAGTCGTATATAGACAACATGTGGAGCATCTGAGAACAGTCTTGAAGAAGTTGAGAGAGCATTAGTTGTATGTCAATTTGAAGAAATGGTCTTTTGCACAACTACAAGTGGAGTACTTTGGGCATGTGGTGACCAGGGCAGGAGTAGTAGCAGACCCAACCAAGATTGTGGATATGATGGACACAGAAGCTTGAGGAGCTGAGGGGATTCTTAGGTCTCACTAGATACTACCGAAAATTTGTGAAGGGTTACGGCATGATAGCATAACTACTTACGGAACAACTGAAGAAAAACTACTTCAAGTGGGGGAAGCCGCAACACATGCCTTCGAAGATCTGAAGAGAGCTATGAATAGTGTACCATTGTTAACACTTCCAGATTTCAGTAGAACAATTGTGGTAGAGATAGGTGCATTAAGGTACAGGTTGGGAGCAGTACTCATGCAGGACCAGCGACACATTGCTTACTTCAGCTAGGTGCTTGCCGTTAAGGCGAGGCTTAAGTTATTATACAAGCGGGCACAGCTGGCTGGTACGACAATTTCTTGTTAGAATAGATCATAGGAGCTTGAAGTACTTGTTGGACAAGGATTGGTGACTGAGGAGTATCAGAGGTGGCTATTTGAGTTGCTGGGATATGATTTCGAGATTTAGTTCTGCCAGGGTTAAGAATTAAGCCGTAGATGTCCTATCGAGGAAGGTGAAGGAGCCCTATCTGACATCCTTATCAATACTCTTGGTCCTCGATTGGGAAACATTGTGGCAGGAGAGCGAGCCAGATAAAGGACTGAGGAAGATACCGACAAAGATGCTACCTGATCCAAACAATCATCTGGGATATGCCTTGAGGGGACAACAACTACTCTGCCAGGGGCTCTACCAGGGGCGGTTCATATTACCAAGGGCATCAAAGTATCCCACGACTGTTGTAGGAGTTTCACGACATCACAATCAGAGGGAATTCCTGGGTGCAAAAGACATACAACCGTTTGTCGGCAGAGCTTCACTAGGTGGGCATGTGCAGAGACGTAGAATTTATGGTGGCGCGGTACGACGTGGGCTAGCAACATAAATACTTGACCAGGGCGTCAGAAGGGTTGGTATGTCCCTTAGCATTACCGAAGAAGGTTTGGGAAGAAGAGACAATTGATTTCATAGAAGGGTTTCCACGATCAGAAGGGTTTACGGTGATTATGGTGTTAGTGGATCGCTTGAGCAAGTATGCACATTTTATTCCATTACGTCACCCCTACGCTGCGGTTTCAGTCGCTACAGTGTTCATACATGGAGTGATCCGTTTGCACAGAGTGCTAGAATCGATTGTATCATACAGGGACAAGGTGTTCCTCAACCAGTATTGGAAGGAGCTGCTCAAGTTACAAGGAACAATTTTCAAGAGGAACACATCGTATCATCCTCAAAGCCAAATCTAGATAAAGGTGGTCAATAGGAGTGTGGAGACATACCCGCTTTATTTTCTATCAGATAAGGCGAAGCTGTGGGCCAAATACTGGTATGATACTTCGTATCATATTGCAGCGCAAACCTCTCCTTTCAAGATTTGGTGTGGACGGGGTCCACCCCACCTGATACACTATGGGTATAGTACTACACCGGTGTTCAGTGTCAACCATTACTTGGAGGAGGGACAAAATATTGATGGAGCTCAAGGGGCATTTATTAAGAGCTTAACATATCATGAAGAGGAACGTAGATGGACATAGGAGAGAGGTACAGTTCAAACTGCGAGACATTGTTTACTTGAAGTTGAGGCTGTACAGGCAGAAGACATTGGCCAAGTAGAGGAGCAAGAAACTTTCACCACGATATTTTGGACTCTACGAGGTGGCGGAATGCATCGGAGAAGTGGCCTACCATTTGAGGTTACCACCATTATCAACATTACACCCAGTTTTCCATGTCTCACAATTGAGACGAGTGATCAGAGACCATAGCCATCACTACCCCTGATGATGACAGAGGACATAGAGGTGATTCTAAAACCCTTAGAAGTTGAAGGAATATGCCGCGGAGGGGCGGGAGCAAAGTAGGTACTTATTAAGTGGAAGGGTCTGCCAGGGTATGAAGCAATGTGGGAACTCTATGAGGTGATTTGAAGTCAGTTTCCATCATTTCTCCTTGAGGACAAATGCTTCTTTGGGAGGGGAGTATTGTTACGCCAGTTACTCAACCGGTCCAGGCGGGGCTAGTCGAGCAACCGACTCGTCTTAGTTGTCCAAGGGCTGAGTGGCTCAGCAGGGAGGTGAGGCACGGTGGGCAGCAGAGATCGAGGTATCTAACGAATAGGAGGGGCCTATGAAGGCTGTAATCACATGTGCAAGGAGGAGAAATTAAAAGGGGTTTTGGGGGGAAATTTTGAAGGGATTTGGAATGGTTATATTAGGGCTAATAACCTAGGGTTTGCTTATGTTTTGTTTTGGCTGTAGTTTTCCTTCTCTTCTTGTGGTGTTTCTAGTGACGTCTATAGTTTGTGGAGAGATGATATACTTCTCAAACAACATATTATCATTGTATCTTGCTTGGTTTTTTTTTTTTTTTTGTAAGAACAACCCCCGTTTTAGCTTTTCTACCTTCCTATTGCAATTTTTTTGCTGTTTGTTCGCTGTATTTGGTTCTGAATTGTGTCAGCCTTGTGCTTGAGGATTGCAGTTGCTTTGAAATGGTTGACCAATTGCAAAAAAGTAAAAAAACAATAACCTAACCTACCTATTGCAATTTCATTGCTGTTTGTTCGCTGTTTTTCGTTCCGAATTGTGTCAGTCTTGTGCTTGAGGATTGCAATTGCTTTGAAGTGGTTGACCTTCATATTAGAAAAGTAGGAGCTTGGTATTAGTGACAGATGATCAGAACATATATTTCTCAATTTAGGGAACCATAAATCCTAAATTCTCAACTATGTTATCGATATGTTTTTTTTTAAAGAATCGGTATTTCTTTTTGAATCAGTTTTTTACTTGTAGTTAAAATTGTACTACCATGCTGCATTTCTTTTTTTTTTTTTTTTTCAGGCAAATATCACTAGAACAAATCATATAATGTTCACCATGGGAACTGATTTTAAGTATCAATATGCAAATTCATGGTTCAGACAGATGGACAAATTTATTCATTATGTTAACCAGGTAATCATCTACTCTGGATGAGACTGAGCTATTTGTGCTCTCTGTTTCATTATTAAACTGGCTGCAATTGACTAGTAATTATATTATATCAATAATTTACTTTTCCTGTTTATTAATCTAGCTGTCATACTGGTTTGCATTGCAAAGTTGAACCTACATAATTGGTGTTACCTTATGGCGGTTATTAGGAAATAATATTAGGAATCCTTATTTTAAGATGAGAGTATATTTTCAGAAAATATACATTTATTAACTCTTGAATACATTTATTCATATTCATCTTGTATGTCTATAAATAGAATGAATAAAATCATCAATTTATTTTCCCACAATATTGTATTAGAGCATCAAACCCCTAACTATTTTTGTGATCCTTATTTATCTAATCCCGATCTTGGTAAGTTACCCTAGCCTGCATTGCATTTCCTATTAATCCTGTAAGCTACGTATATGTGCTAATTTCATTTGTATGCTTGTTAATCTGTCACTCTCTCAGGTTGTGTGAAGTAAGTTATATGACTCATCTTTTGATAAATTTAAGATTTTATATATGTATCATTGGTATTTTCTTGTATATGTTATCATCTCCATTTCTATTGTCCACCTTGTTTCAGGATGGCCGAGTTAATGCCTTGTACTCAACCCCTTCTCTGTACACTGATGCCAAATATGCATCAAATGAAACTTGGACTCTCAAGACGGATGACTTCTTCCCGTGAGTTGAAATCCATTGGATTGTAGAAATTTTTGCAGATCATTTAATTCGTGTCTTTGATTAGTGGCGAGTAACACTTAGAATTTACAGTTACGCAGATGGTCCAAATGGATACTGGACAGGATACTTTTCAAGTAGGCCTTCTTTCAAACAGTATGTCAGAATGTTGAGCGGCTACAATCTGGTACGTCATCTGGTCTCCTTGATATGTCAACAATCTGACGACATATAAAACTAAGTATAAAAAATTTCTGTCTATAACCAGGCAGCCAAGCAGCTAGAATTTTTGAAAGGAAGGGACAGCTCAGGGCTCACCACTGACAGTTTGGCTGATGCTTTAGCAATTGCTCAACATCATGATGCAGTTAGTGGAACTGAGCAACAGCATGTGGCAAATGATTATGCTAAACGACTATTTATAGGCTATACAGAGGTGACGAGTTACATTTAAGCAAAGGCAACTTTATCTTGGTTCCATTATTTTTATTCCATTAATTTGCAGGTCACCGTTGCGTTTTAATGTGTTTTAAGCAGGCTGAGAAGCTAGTTGGGTTATCACTTGGTTGCTTGACAGAGTCTTCGTTAAATTCGGATTGTTACAGCCCGAAAACAAATTTTGAGCAGGTATGATTTATTGAAGCGTAAAATGCAATGTGTCGTTATTCTTCAGTCATAAAATTATCAGATAAGCTTAAGAATCGATTTATAATTTACATACATATATTTATTACAAGCTCTGTTGTCTAGGATCTTGGTGCAAGATTTGTCAACAAATTTTCTTATTAATTTTCATGGATTTGATGTTTTCAAATCTTTCTTTGTACTGGAAGTTTTTGTGGACTTCAAAAATTTAAGCCCGGCTTCTCTTTCAGATTTATGTTTCCGGGTTGAAATTTCATAATGCGGATTAGGTCTTAGACAATACATTACTCTCAGATTTTGTTCTTATTTTGCAAAGACTTGTTCCAGATTTCTCATAGATGCAAGCACATATGTTTATTACTCTTTTTTGTGATGAGAGAACTTTTGACTAAAACTATTCATTAGGCATTAAACACTCAATATATAATAGCAATAGTTTGATTTTAGATTGAGAAATTTGTCATCTTTTGACTAAACTGGGTACTGAGAGGAATGATGATAAATCCGATCAAAATCTCGTGATTCTATTTTTTTTGGGTTATCATGGATCTTGGTTTACATAGTAGAGATGGTAGTTGACTCAATTATGACCTAATTTTTTTGTTAATATGTCATTCAGGCGAATCTTATAAATATGGTGCGAATATTTGTTTATGAGAATAAGTAGGCCTTTGTTAATAAAGGATTTTATGTCATATAAAATGTAATTTATAACCTATCTCTAAAACAAAAATAAATCATTGGAGAATTGACTGGCTTTGGTTGCAACCATAATGTAATGCTATTATTTTGCGGCAAATCAATTGGTCAAAGGTATCAAGTCATAGTGGTTCTCTTTTGACAACAAAATTATATGATCAGAGGACTTGGATTTGTTCTCTTAGATCCATAAAATCTTATTGGATGATGCAATCCATAGTTGCTGACAAAGATGCTTCTGCTATGTTGGGTTGATATTGGGAATCGTGACGACTTAGGATCTTGGAATCATGAGATCTTTATCTGGTTCATCATTGTTTCTCCTAGCATTCTCTTTATGCTCGAGGTGCTAAAACTTATATAAAAACCAAAGTCTGCTGCTACTATACATTGAATTTTCAACGTTTAACGTCTAACCTTAATTGAAAGTGCTCTTCTATTATCGCAAGCCCTTATGGTAAATCTTGAACCTCAGATCTAAAAATCCTTATAAAATGAGGATGAAATCTTTGGGCAGTGTCTTTATTTACTATCTAATCAGTCTTATGAAAATTTGACCAATAGTAATCACCGAGGCTTTCAACAAGAGTCCGAGGCATGGATATTTGGAGCCCATAATAAATAACAAAATCTATACACTTTTAGATCATGTGCATGCAACACTAATCTTCAAATTGCCTTGGAAAGCTTGCAAACAAATTGCATGGTAGCATCATATAAGTGTATAAAAAATAATGTATTATCAATATGCGTGCATATTATCAAAATTATGCTCTCTTGCACTCTGACCAACATGTTAAATGCTTGATTATATAATATAAGAATGTTGCGTGAGCGAACATAAAATAATTTGAAATGCTTGTATGTGTTTTGGTGGATGTATCAAATACTTAAATTTAACATTTGAGAATGCTATGTAGGCTAACATTTATTTTCAACTTGAAAAGAGTGCAATTATTTTGAAAACTCAACTTCATTTTAAAATTAAATACTCAAATTTGGTAATTAAAGCACTCTTGTCACGATCCGACTATGGAGCTTGGAATTACCAAGGTGGAAACTGTTGGTCGGATAAAGAAAAACTGTTTAACAGTTTATTTCATAATTAAAATGGAATCTAAAACACAAAAGCGTCGTTCTATCTATAAAATTTAAAGTTACAATAAGTTCTTATAAATTTTTAAATATTTATAACAAACATAAAATAAAAACTAATCTATAGTATGTATCAACCGGTACTTCTCGATACCTGTACATGTACTCTTTACGGTCTTTTTAGCCTAAAGTTGGTTTTCGAGTCAAATGTTAGCAACTGAATGTTTGAATTAAATTACTTAGGGGACAAATGTTTCTAAATTACAATACTTTTTATTTTAAAACATTTTTTAAAAAATTCAACAAACATTAAAATGACCGTGGAAAGTAAAAAGAGTAAAGAAAATAATTTTTTATTTATTTTTATTTATTTATGTTATAATTTTTATTATTAGAAGTCATCATCTAACCGTATACTTTTAAAAAAAATAACATTTTTTTAATCCACCATTAAAGTAGGTAACCATTTTCATTTTCATTTTTATTTTCGTGCAAAGGTACATTCCATTATCTTGCTAGTATCATTCATTGGTGACTTACATATGCATGCATATATTATATTTTATTTCTTTTCTTGCATTTAAAATTTAAAAGAAAAACATTAGTTTTTGCAAAATAGTAAAAAATAAAACCATGTGTGGATAAACAAAACTATTCTAATATAAAATTATATTTACCTTACTATACAGTGTAGTTTGCTATGCTTTTCTTGATCAGTCTAGCCTTTTGGGTGCACCTATAAAAATAATTTAGACTTAATTAACTCATACATAGTTTATTAGAGGTATATGCATTTCCCAGTTGAAACAGGTTTTTTAATATTTGGATCGTTCTCTCTGATTGACCACCTGTTTGTGGATGAAAAACTGTACTGAATGTCAGTTGAGTACCAAAAGCCTCTTGAACTTTTCTCCATAATTTGGATGTGAATCTATTATCTCGATCTGAAACAATGGACTTTGGGACTCCATACAGTTGCACAATTTCATCAACGTAAATTTTGGCCTATTTATCCATAGGTTTGATATGCAAGAAATGCACAGACTTGGTTAGATCATCAATAATCACTCGTAAAACATCACGACCATGCATCAATCTTGGTAGCCCAACCACATAGTCCATAGCAATGTACTCTCATGTCTATTATGTTATAGGCAACAATTGCAATTGCCCACTCAGTTTCTGATGCTCAGTCTTAACCACTTGACAAGTTGGACATTTCCACAAACTCTTCTGTACTATGCTTCTGTCTTGACCACCAGGATAAAACTTTTATTTTTTATACATCTTGTTGCTTTCCTGATGTATTGTGTAGCCTAAATAGTGTAACTCATGTAAGATTTCTTTTTGTAAATCATTCACACCAATATAAATAGTGCAACTCAATAATTTTTCTTTATCGATCTCATATTTATTCAGCTGACCCACCTTCATCTGGTCTAATATTTTCTGAAATTTGTATTCTGTGGCAATGCATCTTGTATTCCATCCTTCAAATTTGACTGATTGATCATCTGATTTAACAGTGCAAAACGTTCATCATTTGGTACAACTATTGATAAACACTCCATATCTTTAATTAATTCTTCTTGCTATGTGATTACCCAATTAACGCTGCTACCTGCCTTCATGCTTAGTGCGACTGTCACATTATTTGCTTTTCCAGCGTAATATTGTTTTTTCAAATCATAATCCTTAATGAGCTAAAGTCATCGTTTTTGCCTTAAAATCAACTCTTTCTTTGTGAAAATAAACTTTACAGTTTGGTGATTCGTGAACACTTTACACTTAAGTCTATATAAATAATACATTTATAACTTTAAAGAAAATTCCACTGTTGCCAGCCTTAAGTCATATGTTGGATAATTCTTCTCATGATTCTTCAATTGTCTATAGGTATAAGTAATTACCTTTCCGTGTTGCATGAGCACACATCCAAGTTTTCCTAAAGATGCATCACTGTAAATTCTGAAGTATTTTGTTCTAAAGGGGATCACCATTACTGGAGCTGTCAGCAAGCACATCTCCAACTTATGGAAAATTTCCTCACAACAATTTGTCTACTTAAATTTTTTTTGCCTTTTGAGTTAATTTAGCCGAAGGCATTGCAATCTAAGAGAACCCTAAACAAATCTCCTATAATAGCCTACCAACTCTAGCAAACTTCGAACTTCTGTAACAGTAGTTGTTTGGATCAATCAACTATGACTTTAACATTGTTTTGGTCCAGATACATTCACTACTGATAATAGGCCCCAAGAATGTTATGCTCCTCAACCAGAATTCAGACTTTGACAACTTGGTATGTAACTGGTTCCCCTTCAATATTTGCAAAATGATGCGAAGATGATCTGCATGATGAGCTTCATCACTAGAATAGATTAGAATTTTATCAATGAAGGCTACCACAAATATATCCAGAAATGGTTTAAATATTATCTTCATAAGATCCATAAAAACGACATGAGCATTTGACAACTCAAGATGCATCACAACAAATTCATATTATCCGTATTTGGTGTTGAAAACTGTCTTTGCTGCGTCTTTTTCTTTAATTCTTGACAGGTGATAATATGAGTGTCGATCAATCATGAAAAATACAATATCTCCTTCCAATTGATCAAAAAGATCATCACTCCTTGGCGAGAGATACATGTTCTTAATTATGAGTTTGTTTAATTCTCGATAATCAAAACATAACCTTAAGCTCTCATCTTTTTTCTTAAGAAAAAGTACTGGGTCTCCCAAAGTGGAAGTGCTTGGCTCAATAAATTCTTTCTTTAACAAGTCTTGCAACCGACTCTTTAATTCTGGTAGCTCCTTGATTGTCATTCTATGAGGTGCTCTCGCAATTGGTTCTACACCTGATATTAAATCGATAGAAATGTTATATCTTTTATTGGAGGCAAACCTGAGAAATCATCTAAAAATACTTATGGGTACTCATTTAGTACTGATATATCCTCAAACTTCTTGGATTTTTTTGTAATATCACTGACTCGAGCTAGGAAATTTTTGTATCATTTTGCTAACAATTTGCATGCCTTTAAACTGGTTATCATCATTAATAGGACTTTTCTATCTCCCACAAACTTGAATTCTTATTTTCCAGAGATAATGAATTTGACTATCTTTTTAGTGCATGGTTGTGAAGTAATTAGATAGTCAATTCATCTCTAGAATCACTT